GGAGCCCAGGCAGAGGGAGAACTGGCCGCGAGCGAACAGGCGAGGCCGGCCCACCAGCCTCGCACCGGCCCCTGGGGTTCCCCCTGGTGGAGCCAGCTCCGGGAGGAACACAAGAAAGACACACCCAGCGGCTCTGCCTGCGAGCGGGCCAGGGCGGACTGCCCGTGCACATGGCCCGGAGGCCTGCAGCTGCTGGGGACACCCTTCCCGGTGCTTCCGAGGACCCAGAGGCAGACGTCCCCGGGCGGGTCCTGCCGTGCCGCTGCCATCGGCCCTGACCTCGAGCACCTGCCTCCTTGTGCCTTAGATGAGCTGGGCAAGCCTGCAGGCCGCGTTCCCTGCCCTGAGCCCCGCGCAGCTGCACCGGCTCCTCACCCAGTACCAGCTGGCCTCGGCCACGGGCCCCATGAGCGTCTGGGAGCCGGGCGCCCAGGACCGCCCCGAGGCCTTCAACTCAGGTGAGCCCCTCCGTGCCAGGACCGCTGGGGGCGGGGCCTCCGGGCCTTCCCTGGGGGAGCCGCAGGGCACCTGGGCCACCTGGGGACCTCCACAGCTGGGGTCAAGGAGCCCACACCTACGGCCCAGTTGTAAACTCCAAGCTCAGGCCAAGGTGCCCCCTGCCCTCACCCAGTGCCCGGCCCACCAGGAAGAGAGCACCCCATGCTGGGCACCGCCACACCACCGTGGAACGCTCCCGATCACGCATGTTCACACACAGCGTACATACAGATGCACCTATGTGTGTTTTTATAGATTAGCCACTGTAGACAGACATGCACTCTCCATTAGCATCACCTGTGTCATAACAAGGGCGGAAGGAAGGATGGTGAGCACGCGCCCGCTTCCCTCGGCGGGCGTGGAGGCAGGGCCCCGGCTCCATGGGATGCGTGTCTCGTTCTGGGTCACGACCAAGGCCCATGTGGGAGCAGAGCCTTTCCTGCTGGAAAGGGCTCAGGTTCAAGTTCAGGCCAACGAGCAATGGGCCCTCTCGGTCCCGGTGCCCTGGGGCTGTGGTCAGCGTGGGCCGGGAGCCGGGAGGAGCAGGTGTCAGCCAGGGCTGCAGACTTGTAGGCTGATGCTCAGCTCCCAGAGGGGCTGGTGGGGTGCAGGCTGGGGGTGTGGCCAAAGCTCCAGGGGGCGGGGCCTTGTTCATCCTGGGTGGTCACTGGGCTCCAGAAGGAACCAGAGTGCATTTTGGGCGGTCACCCTGCCCGGCGCCCCCCGCCAGCGGTCCCAGGCCCCATGTGGGGGGCGGCGGCCCCTCGGCGCTGAGGCGGGTGCTCTCCCCGCAGAGGACGTGCTGGAGTCCTATGAGAACCCCCCGCCCATCGTCCTGCCCAGTGAGGGCTTCCAGGTGGACCTGGAGGCGGACTGCCCGGACGACAGCATCTACCAGCACCTTCTCCACGTGCGCCACTTCCTGTGGGGCCTGCGGAACAAGCCCCAGCCCCAGGGCCTCGAGGTACCGCCAGCTGCCAGGCTGGGCCCAAGGCTCCGGCTTTGACAGTGGGGTGGACACGGGGCATGAAGTGGGAGGGAGAGCTGGTCCCTTGGTTTTCCTCCAGACAGGAGCTGGTGCCTGAGCTGTCTTTCTCCTCCAGGGCCAGCACCCCCGCAGCCCTGAGGGGCACCCCGAGGGCCAGAGCTGCCCCGTGGCCGGCCCAGCGCACCCTCCTCCCTCGGCCGGGGCTCCGGGCACACCGGGTCCTCCAGGAAGACCGCGGGGCCACAGGAACCACGGGGGCCCCCCGGCTGGGCCCCCGCACACAGACTCCTCCTGCCTGCTCACGCCGCCCGGCACCCCCCTCGAGCCCCCTGGCCCTGAATGGCACCCCCCCGGCGGCCCCCGGGGCAAGGCGCACTCAGAAGAGAGGAGGCCCGGACCGGGCGGCCCCCGGGGGGCGGCGCTGGACGGTGAGACGAGGCTCCGGCTCTGCTGTGCCCACAGGCTCTGGGTCACACACCCCGTCCCTGTGGTCAGCGCGTCCTGGCTGTTCAGTTCCTGCCCACGCACCTCAGCCGGGCACTCAGCCCCGCAGGCCTCACCTGCCCCGTTCCTGTCCCGCAGGAGACGGCGTGGCCCCCGAGGATGAGCCCCCGCTGGCCCCCTCCAGCCGCAGCTCCAGCGCCGAGGACTTCTGCTCCGTCTTCCAGGTGGAGCTGGAGCGAGGCCCCTCGGGGCTGGGGATGGGCCTGATCGACGGGATGGTGAGTGGCCCTGGGCTCTGCTGGGCCTGGCGGGCATCTCCGTGGAGCAGGGCAGGGCAGGGCCTGCGGTGGCCTGGCCTCCGGCCTGGCCTGGGCCCGAGGGCCGGGACGGGGCGTGCTGTCCGCAGACAGCCATGGCCTGGCCGGGCCTCCCGAGGGCGGGCTGGGTGCCACCGCGGCCCTGCCTGTCCGCGGAGCTGAGGCCTCTGCTCCCGCAGCACACGCCCCTGGGCGCGCCCGGCCTCTACATCCAGACGCTGCTCCCCGGCAGCCCCGCGGCCGCGGACGGCCGGCTGTCGCTGGGGGACCGCATCCTGGAGGTGAACGGCAGCAGCCTGGATGGCGTCGGCTACCTGAGGTACCCAGCGCACCCCAGGGGCGGGAGCCACGGCCCGGCCTCGGCAGCAGGGTGTGCTCCCTGCGCCCGAGGGGGCCGCTCTCACCCCACTTCAGGGACCAGGGCCGCCCCCGGAGGGGTGGGCAGCACAGGCTGGGCCAGGCCCCGCACCCCGCGCCCCAGGAGGCTCGCGCCCCCCCCACCCCCCCGACTCGCTGTCACCGTCCGCTCCAGGGCCGTGGACCTGATCCGCCACGGCGGGAAGAAGATGCGGTTCCTGGTGGCCAAGTGCGACGCGGACACGGCCCAGAAGATCCGCTTCCGCTCGCCCCCTCCCTAGGGCTGCGGGCTGAGCGCGTGTTTATATGGCGGCCCGCGGGCCACAGAGCTTTATGTTTGGAGACTTTATCGGAGACACAGATGCAATAAACTATCTTTCGTATTCTTGGAGAGCAGCGGTGCGTGGGGTCAGCGTGGTGCGTGGGGTCCGCGTGGCGCGTGGGGTCAGGGTCAGGGCAGTGTGTGTGCGGGGGTCGGCGTGGTGCGTGGGGTCAGCGTCAGGGCGGTGTGTGCGCGGGGGTCGGTGTGCGTGGGGTCGGCGTGGTGCGTGGGGTCAGGGTCAGGGCGGTGTGTGCGGGGGTCGGTGTGCGTGGGGTCGGCGTGGTGCGTGGGGTCGGTCAGGGCGGTGTGTACGCGGGGGTCGGCGTGGTGCGTGGGGTCAGCGCGGTGCGTGGGGTCAGGGGCTGCGGGGAGGCCGCCCACTCCGGAGACCGCGGGAGAGGGGCCGCGATGGCGGGTGAACCAGGAGCGGCAGGGACACGGGGAGTCAGCCCCGCCGCCCCGGCGGCCGCCCTCCCTGCCCCGCCCCGCCCCGTGGCGCGCAGCGCGGAGCCCGGGACGGGGACGGAGGCCCCGGGGACCGTCCGGGGGACGAGGCCCCGCCGCCGCCGGGAGGGCGCGGTGGGCGAGCCCCAGCCTGCGCTCCACGCCGCCCCCTGGCGGCTCGGGTCGTGTGAGCCCGGACCCCGCCTGAGGGCGGCCTCCCGCCGTCCCCGCCGCCGGGTCCGTCATTAAACCCGGTAAACGCGGAGCGAGCCGATGGGGATGCCCCGCGGAGCGCCCAGAGGCCGCCCGGCTTGGCGCGGCCCGGGTCCGGGGCGCGCACCTGCGCCTCCCGAGGCCGGACGCCGCCCGGCCCGCAGCCCGCAGCCCGCACCCGCTTTGGGCGCCCGAGGCCACCGGCCGGGGCGGGGCCGGGCCAGGCTCCGGGGCAGCAGCGCCACCTCGCGGCCTGAGAGCTGACCTACAGGCCGAGCCTCCGACCTGAATGGGTGTGTGTGTGTGTGTCACGGGGGCTGGACCGTCCCCTGACCCGCCACGCCCAGCTTGTCTCCTGGGGGCCCCGGGTTTGCGGAGCCCAGGTCCAGAGCAGGTGCCGGTCCCTGGGAGCCGGCGTGGGCGCCCTGCCAGGTGGGCCACCCTCCCAGCGGCAGGTGCGCCCACCCCAGGCGCACGGCCCACAGCCCACAGCCAGCCCTGAAGACACGCGCTCCCGGCTGCGTGTCCATGAGCTTTACGCCTGGGCCACCCGCCCCACGGCCACCGAGGGCGAGTGTCTGGGCCGCTCTGCACAGCAGGAGGCGCCCACAGGGCTGCCGAGGGGGTGCGGCACCCGGCCCTCCAGGGCAGGGGCGCGGAGGGAACAGCCTGTTTTGTCCAGTGACTTCCCAGCGGGTTTATTGGGGCTGAACGTCCTGCAGCCCCAGGCCCGCCCCCGGCCTAGCGCCGTCAGGACGTCTGCAGAGCTCAGCAGTCCCGTGGGAGAGGTCGGACCGACAACGCAGGTGAGACCGGGCAGCCCACCCCACCGCCGGCCGGGCCCACGGGCTTCCTCCCGGTTTCCTCCTGACCACGAGGGCCTGGCTGCCCGAGTCCCAGGCTCGTCCGAATCTGCGGCCGCTGGCGTCAGCCTGGTGGCCGGCCCTCGGCCGGCAGGAGGCCCGCCTCCCTCTCCACCAGCCGGCTGACGGCGCGCAGGGCCAGCGGCAGTGCCGTGTTGGTGTCCCGGTGGTAGCGGGGCGCGGCCACCTCCAGGCCGGGCGTGAGCACGAACTGGGCCACGCTGGGCATCTTCAGCAGGTTCAGCAGCTCGGTGGCCCGCGTGCCCACGCCCTCGTCCTCCCGGCAGCAAAGGGCGCCCCCGGCCGCGCTCTGGGCCGGGGTCCTCATCTTGGACAGGAACAGAGAGACCCTGGGGACGGGGACGGGGACGGCCGTCAGCGGAGGCACCGGGGGAGGAGGTGGCAGTGCAGTCCACGCCGCCGGGAGGTCTGAGCTGTGCGGCCCCTGGCACGGACGCCTGCCCAGCCACCTTCCTTTCTCCCTCCCCTCCCCCTCCCCCTCCCCCTCCCCCTCCCCGTACCTGGGGATCAGGTCTTGGCTGCGGGAGGCCAGCTTGGTCAGCGTGGTCATCAGTGCCGTGACCAGCTGCGGGGGACACTGGGGGAGGGTGGCTGAGGGGCGGGACTGGGTGACCTCGAACAGCAGGGCCTCCAGGACCTCGAAGAACTTGTTGATCTGGTCCGCGGTGCAGCGCCGGTCCCAGCTCACCGCCAGGTACTCGCCGACAGCCCACACCTGCGGGGAGCACGCTCAGCCCCGGCCAGGCCCCCGCGCTGGGGGGGGGGGGCCGCCGGCGCCTTACCGCGGAGGTGAGCACGCTCCCGCCGCTGCGCAGGCCGCCCCCGCTGCCCACCAACGCCAGCAGCTCCTTCGCCAGCTCCACCACCAGGCAGGGCCTCTGCTGGCACAGGCCCAGGAACTGGGCGCTCAGCACCCTGCAGGGCACAGGGCTCCGTGGCTCAGACGCCGCGCAGCCCAGCCCAGCCCAGCCCCAGCCCACCCAGGCGGCCGGGAGGCGGGCGGGACAGCAGCTCGGGCCCCTGAAGAACCTCTCGCCCCGGGAGGAGCCGGACAGCTGTCCTCGGTGCTGAGTGCAGCGCAGGGTCAGGCCTCCGGCGAGGGTGACAGATGTGTGGGAGGCGGGAGGCTGAGGTCTGGGGGCCGGGCCGGGCCGCTGCAGCAGCCGGGGGGAGGGGACTGGGGGGCCGGTGGGGCGGGCGGGTGGAGCCTGGCTGCAGGAAGACTCACTGGTGCACGCGGGCCTCGTAGCCTGGCACCGGGTAAAGCGAGTCGCTTCTCTCCAGGAGCAGCCGTGCCAGCTGGTTGGTCAGGGCCCCGTCAGCGAACTGAGGTCGAGAGCGAGAGGCAGGCGGCTGTGTCCCCGGGTCCCAGCCCCGTCCAGGAGGGGCCGGGCGAGGGACGGCCGGGGGGGCTGGCGGGGCCTCTGGCTGACCTCGGTCCCTGCTGCAGGGGGCCCTCCGGGGGGACAGAGGCCGGGCAGGGCCCTCCGGGGGGACAGAGGCCGGGCAGGGCCCTCCGGGGGGACAGAGGCCGGGCAGGGCCCTCCGGGGGGACAGAGGCCGGGCAGGGGGCCCTCCGGGGGGACAGAGGCCGGGCAGGGCCCTCCGGGGGGACAGAGGCCGGGCAGGGCCCTCCGGGGGGACAGAGGCCGGGCAGGGGGCCCTCCGGGGGGACAGAGGCCGGGCAGGGGGCCCTCCGGGGGGACAGAGGCCGGGCAGGGGGCCCTCCGGGGGGACAGAGGCCGGGCAGGGGGCCCTCCGGGGGGACAGAGGCCGGGCAGGGCCCTCCGGGGGGACAGAGGCCGGGCAGGGGGCGGGCAGGGGGCCCTCCGGGGGGACAGAGGCCGGGAAGGACCCTCCGGGGGGACAGAGGCCGGGCAGGGCCCTCCGGGGGGACAGAGGCCGGGCAGGGCCCTCCGGGGGGACAGAGGCCGGGCAGGGGGCCCTCCGGGGGACAGAGGCCGGGCAGGGGGCGGGCAGGGGGCCCTCCGGGGGGACAGAGGCCGGGCAGGGGGCCCTCCGGGGGACAGAGGCCGGGAAGGACCCTGCGGGGGGACAGAGGCCGGGCAGGGCCCTCCGGGGGGACAGAGGCCGGGCAGGGCCCTCCGGGGGGACAGAGGCCGGGCAGGGCCCTCCGGGGGGACAGAGGCCGGGCAGGGGGCGGGCAGGGGGCCCTCCGGGGGGACAGAGGCCGGGAAGGGCCCTCCGGGGGGGCAGAGGCCGGGCAGGGCCCTCCGGGGGGACAGAGGCCGGGCAGGGCCCTCCGGGGGGACAGAGGCCGGGCAGGGGGCCCTCCGGGGGACAGAGGCCGGGCAGGGGGCGGGCAGGGGGCCCTCCGGGGGGACAGAGGCCGGGCAGGGGGCGGGCAGGGCCCTCTGGGGGGACAGAGGCCGGGCAGGGGGCGGGCAGGGGGCCCTCCGGGGGGACAGAGGCCGGGCAGGGCCCTCCGGGGGGACAGAGGCCGGGAAGGGCCCTCCGGGGGGACAGAGGCCGGGCAGGGCCCTCCGGGGGGACAGAGGCCGGGCAGGGCCCTCCGGGGGGACAGAGGCCGGGCAGGGCCCTCCGGGGGGACAGAGGCCGGGCAGGGGGCCCTCAGGGGGACAGAGGCCGGGCAGGGGGCGGGCAGGGGGCCCTCCGGGGGGACAGAGGCCGGGCAGGGGGCCCTCCGGGGGGACAGAGGCCGGGCAGGGGGCGGGCAGGGGCTCACCTGGGTCACCGCCGAGAAGAAGGCCCGCAGCAGGGTGGGCACCGCCTCCGCGCACTGCAGCACCCGGGCGCAGCCGGCCATGGGCTGCAGCAGCGGGTAGAGTGGCGCCAGCCTGGGGACGGGACAGCCGCTGGGTGCCCGCCCAGGCCCCACCGCCTGGTGCCCAGGGACAGGCTCTGAGCACGGGAGCCCATGAGACGACCCCCCCCCCCCCCCCCCCGCCGGTGCGGCTGGAAGGCAGGGGTCCGGGTGCGTGGACCGCGTCAGAAACCACTCCCCGGCTCACTGGGAGCTCACCCGTCACCACGCTGCCTGTGCCCAGCTCCGCCTGGCACCGGCCCCCGGACCCGGGAAGCTGGCGTCTGGGTAAGAGGCCCCGCACCGCTCTAGGGCTCCCCGCCTGGGCCCTAAGCCTCAGTTTCTCCATCTGTGTAATGGCGTCACCAGAGTGCCCACCGCGCAGAACTGGCACGTGGTAACAGCCCAGCCCGGCCTCGTGGCTGCCGCCTGCTGGGAGGGCCACACAGTGCTTTCCGGGCCGGCCCGGCGCTCCTGGCCCGAGGTCCCTACCTCCGGGGCCCCCGGCCTGGCCCTACCTCCGGGGCCCCCGGCCTGGCCCTACCTCCGGGGCCCCCGGCCTGGCCCTACCTCCGGGCCCCCCGGCCTGGCCCTACCCCCCGGCCTGGCCCTACCTCCGGGCCCCCCGGCCTGGCTCTACCTCCCGGCCTGGCCCTACCTCTCGGGGGCCCCCGGCCTGGCCCTACCCCCCGGCCTGGCCCTACCTCTCGGGGGCCCCGCTGGCCTCGGTGCGCAGCAGGTGCTGGAGGCGGCCCTGGAGCTGCGGGTCCTGGGAGGCGTCGGGGCAGCTGGCGGTCCGGAGGGAGGCGTCCCAGAGTGGCCTCTCGGACGCAGCAGGTGACAACCTGAGGGACAGACGCCCGAGGCGGGATCGGGTGTGGCTCTGGGCACACCCTCACGGGCACCCACTGGCCGGGGAGAGACGCAGAGGCCGCTGTGACATCACAGCACCCCGGCCCAGTGCGCAGCCTTGGGGTGACGAGAAAGGTCTGGGGGACCCAGCACGTGGAGGGGGGGAGCCTGCAGGCAGGGCTGCCAGGAGCAGGAGGCACTGTGTGTGGGAGGGGCTCAGGGCAGAACAGAGCAGCAGGCAGCAGGGGGGCCGGGGCGGGGAGGGACGGCCCGCGGACGGGCGGGGCAGGCTCACCGGAGCTGCAGGTCCAGGGCCGCGGTCAGACACGGCAGGTCCAGCAGCGCGTGCAGCAGCTCCACGGCCGTGCTGGCGTCCACCAGCGCGGGCAGGAGCGCCACGAACTCGGCCGTGAGGGCCGGGCTGTTCCAGGCCAGCAGCTGAGGGGGGCGGGCCCTCGTCACTGCTGTCGTGGGCGCTGCGCAGGGCAGGAGTGCAACCCCCACCCCCACCCTCGCTTCCCTGGGACCCGGCATCTGGAAATACTCCCACAGTCTGTCACTATTCCCGGCTTCTGCAGTCACTCTGTACCATTGGCCCCACAGGGCTGGCCAGATTCTACGAGAGCTAAACCCGCCCGCTGGCCTTCCCCTCCCGCTGGCCTTCCCCTCCCGAGGGGCCCAGACACCCGGGGCCCCGCCGCCCCCGCCCCCCGCCCCCCGCCCTGCATTCCAGGCCTGGGACAGGCCTCCCCTGGGCCCGCCCGCCCCGCCCCGCCCGCCCCGCCCGGCCCGCACGTGCCTGGAGGAGGCCGGGGAAGCTGCGGCGGAGGAGGCCGAGGTGGCGGCCCAGCAGGGGCAGGCTGTCCCTGCAGAACTGCACAAACTCGAAGGCCAGCATCGGGCTGTGGAAGTGCTCGGCCGGGACCCTGCCGAACACCTGCCGGCACACGGCCTCGGCGTCCACGGCGGCCGCCTCCCCTGCGGGCACCGGGTCAGGGGGACGGACAGAGGCCGCCGCCCCTTCAGAGACACCCCCGCCCCCAAGGGATGGCCGCTCTGAACCCCCACACGGCCCGCCCCCGCCCCCGAGGGCCGGCCCTCTGAACCCCCACACGGCCCCTGACCCCGCCCCCGAGGGCCGGCCGCTCTGAACCCCCACACGGCCCCTGACCCCGCCCCTGGGCCGGCCGCTCTGAACCCCCACACGGCCCGACCCCGCCCCCGAGGGCCGGCCGCTCTGAACCCCCACACGGCCCCTGACCCCGCCCGCCCGTGGAGCTGGCCCCTCTGAACCCCCACACGGCCCCTGACTCCGGCCGCCGCTGCGACGCTCCCACAGGCGGGGGACCACAGGCGGGGGAGCGAGGGGAACCACCACCCCGTCCTGCCCTTCCTCCTGAGTCCTCATCCGAGGGCGTTTCCCGTTGGCTTTTAGGGAGCAGGGGGGAGAGGGGGACAGAGAGACATGGACGGGCGGCCTCCTGCAGGAGCCCTGACCAGGGAGGAGCCCACAACCGAGGTACGTGCCCTTGACTGGACTCGAACCCGAGACCCTTCGGCCCACAGGCCGACGGTCTATCCACTGAGCACACCGGCCCTTTCTCCGGGAGCCGGGCAGCCTTGCGTGCGGACCCCGCTCACCGTGGCCGAGGAAGAACTGGGCGAGGGGCAGCAGCACCCGCACGCAGGCCGGGTCCCCGTTCAGCCGCGCCTGCAGCGCCTTCAGGCAGGAGAGCGTGCGGTACAGGAAGGAGGGGTCCTGCCTGCATAGCACGTCCAGCACCAGCACGGCCTCCACCAGGCACTGCGGGCCGGGGCCGCCGTCAGAGGGGGAGGGGGGAGGGGGGAGGGGGGGGGGAGGGGAGACCGCCCCCGCCCCCGCCCCCGCCGCGGCACTCACCGCTTTCTGCAGGTCCGCGTCCGCCCTCCGCAGGGCTCCTGGGGGGAGAAAGGCGCTGGCCTCTGCACCAGCATCGGGCGCCCAGCAGGAGGCGCACGTGTCCCGGAAGCTCGGTTCCCCCGGGAGTGAGGAGCAGGCGGAGCTCGGCAGAGAGCCACCCAGGGGAGGCGTGGTGGGTGCTGGGGACGCAGCCCGAGAGCCGGGCCGGGGCCTGTGAAGGGCCCAGCCCCGGGTCCGTGCCCCTGGACACGGCGGCTGGGCCGGCCGCCCGTGAGCCACGTAGGGCCCGGCGGGGGGGCCGCTCCCCAACTCACGCCGGGTGCTCTGCTCGACGAGGCGCTGGCAGTACTGGAAGGCCTTCTCCCGCAGGCGCTCCGGCGGCAGCAGGCGGCCGGTGGAGGCGGCGGCCGACAGCACGGACAGGGAGGAGCCCTCCTGCTCCGACCGGTCATCTGGAGGGGACGAGGCGCTCAGGGGCGAGGCCCAGAGGGCACCGGACTCCCGCGCCCGGGGCAGCCGGCCGCCCCCGGGGCTCGGCCCTGCAGGCCCACCTGTGTCCGGGGCGCCCGGGCCTCCGAGCTGCAGCCAGGCCCGCAGCATGGAGAAGGCCTGCACGTTCAGCCACTGGTCCTCCGTGGCGCGCTGCGCCGTGGACAGCACCGTGAAGAAGTCCGTGGCCACCGCCCCGTCGACCTCGGTGACAGGACCCGGCTGCGGGTGCGAGGGGGGGCGCTGAGGCCGAGGCCGGCCCACACACCCGCCTCCGGGCCCCTGGCGCACCCCTCTGCCGGGGCACCCGCCGGCTTGGAGCCAGGGCCACGGCCTCCATCAGGCACGTGACCCTCGCCAGCGCCGTGGCCGGGGCTGTGCCCTGTGACCCCCGCTCCCCCCCCCCCCCCCCCCGCGGAGCCGGGGCAGTGGAGGGCGGGAAGGCGGGACCCGGCGGGCGGGGGGGGGCCGGGGCCGGGGGCTCAGCCCGCACTCACCTGCCGGGCCCGGGGCGTGAAGAAGCCCCCGGAGGGGGCGGGGCCCTGCGGGACACTGGCGTAGCGCAGCCAGTCCGCCAGCCTCTTGCTGAGCAGGTTGGCCTGGTCTGCGGGGCGGGGACAGGCGAGGGGAGCAGGTGAACCCCACTCAGGCCCAGGGCGCTGCTGGTCTTGCTGGAAGGCGAGCAGCCCTAGCCCACCCCCTCCCTCCCCGCCTGGGCTCACCCCTGTCCTCTGCTCTGGGCCTGGAGGGCAGGGGCGGGGGGCAGAAGGTGCTTGTCCAGGAAGCTACCTTCACGGAAGCTGCCCGGGGCCAGGCTGGCGACCTTGGACACGACGGGGAGGAGAGGCCTCGCACTCGGCCCCTCGGGCTGCCGGCTCTCCAGGACTTGGAAGACACGCTGGCCCACGCTTCGGACCTGCCTCCTGTCGCCCTGCCGAGCAGACCAGGTGGGCATGACCGTCCACTCCGCAGGCGGCCACGTGGGCAGCGTCTCGCTGGAGGCCGCCTCCCAGGGACTCTCCACGTCCCCATGGCAGCCCTGGCCAGAGTCAGCCTCCACCACGGCCGGCCACGCCCCGTCCAGGAACCGGGAGAGGGACACGGGGACGGGGAGCTGGGGAGGCAGGGCAGGCGTTCTGCCGGCCCAGCATCCACGTGCTGCCCCTCCCCACCTCCCCACCTCCCCACCTCCCCACCTCCCCGCCCGAGGCCCTGGGAGGACCGGTGAACGGAGGGGGGCCCAGGGCACCGGGGGCGGCGGCCAGCCCGCGGGAGCCGCGCTACCTGGGCCAGGAGCACCGAGGCCACCAGGCTCAGCTGCCGCGGGCTCTGGACGCAGTCGCAGGACAGGCTGAGGCCCGGGCGGGGCGCGGTCTCCCGCAGGATGGCGGCGCAGAGCAGCTGCAGCGGCTCCGGGCGCGGGGGCGGGCCCAGGGCGGTCTGCAGCAGGTCCACGCACTCGTCCTCCAGCCTGGGGGAGGGGGGTCACACCACGGGCAGCGGGTCACACCGCGCAGAGCACGGCTCTGGGGCCCCCCGCCAAGAGGCCGGGGCAGGGAGAGGCCCTTACACGGGAGGCCCCCGAGCCGGTGTAAGCGGACAGACTCCAGAGGCCCCCCCACCCCCCGGCACTCACTTCCTGCCGTACTTGGTGGCCGCCACGATGAGGAAGAGCCTGCGCAGGGCGTCCACGGCCTCGGGTCCCGGCTCCTCGGTACGCAGCAGCGCGCTGGCCCGGGCGCAGAACTGCCCCAGCTCCTCGTCCCGCACCTCCCTGCGGAGCGGCGGCAGCACTGCCGAGCCGGGCCGGGCGCTGCCCGGGGACACGCCGGCCGGCCTGGGCGCTGCCGGGGACACACACCGGCCGGCCTGGGTGCTGCCCGGGGACACACACCGGCCGGCCTGGGTGCTGCCCGGGGACACGCCGGCCAGCCTGGGTGCTGCCCGGGGACACGCCGGCCGGCCTGGGTGCTGCCCGGGGGACACGCCGGCCGGCCTGGGTGCTGCCCGGGGGACACACTGGCCGGGCGCTGCAAGGGGAACACACCGGCCGGCCCGGGGGGACACCCAGGCCTCGGACGGGGCCGGGCTCCGGGCTGCGCTTTGGACCCCGGAGCAGCGGAGACCCCCGCGCCTCTGCCGGCCCCTCCGGCCCCTCCGCCGAGCAGCGTCCCCGCCGCCGCCTCCGCGCCCGCCCCGCCCCGCCCTCGCGCCGGCCCCCGCCCCCGCCCCGAGGGAGGCGGCACCTGGCCTGGCGGAGCAGGCGCTCCGTCCCCGCCGCCGCCATCCCGCCGCCGCCGCTCGCCCTCCGCCGGTCCCAGCCCCGCCGGCTTCCGGGTGGCGGCACGTGCTACGTCACGTGACGAGGCGGACAAGCCGCTGGCCAATGGGCTTTGGCGGAGCTTCGCGGGGCGGGGCCTGTGCGCCGGCCGCGGGGCCTGGTTGGTTCGTGGGCGCCTTTGATTCGAGTCCTGGCTCTCAGCACCTCAGCTCCCCGCACCCTGACACCCGGACACCCGGACACACGGACACCCGGACACCCGGACACCCCGGCACCCCGGCACCCGGACACCCGGACTCCCCGGCACCCCGGCACCCGGACACCCCGGCACCCGGACACCCGGACACCCGGACTCCCCGACACCCCGGCACCCCGGCACCCGGACACCCGGACACCCGGACTCCCCGACACCCCGGCACCCGGACACCCGGACTCCCCGACACCCCGGCACCCGGACACCGGACTCCCCGACACCCCGGCACCCCGGCACCCCGGCACCCGGACACCCGGACTCCCCGGCACCCGGACACCCGGACACCCGGACAACCGGACACCCCGGCACCCGGACACCCGGACACCCGGACTCCCGGACTCCCCGACACCCGGACACCCGGACACCCGGACAACCGGACACCCCGGCACCCGGACACCCCGGCACCCGGACACCCGGACTCCCCGACACCCCGGACACCCCGGCACCCGGACACCCGGACACCCGGGCACCCGGACTCCCCGACACCCCGGCACCCCGGCACCCGGACACCCGGACTCCCCGACACCCGGACACCCGGACTCCCCGACACCCCGGACACCCCGGCACCCGGACACCCGGACTCCCCGACACCCCGACACCCGGACTCCCCGACACCTCGGCACCCCGGCACCCGGACACCCCGGCACCCCGACACCCGGACTCCCTGGCACCCCGACACCCCGGCACCCAGACTCCCCGACACCCCGGCACCCGGACACCCGGACTCCCCGACACCCCGGCACCCGGACACCCCGGCACCCCGACACCCGGACTCCCCGGCACCCCGGCACCCCGGCACCTGGACACCCCGGCACCCCGACACCCAGACTCCCCGGCACCCGGACACCCCGGCACCCAGCATCCTGACACCCGGACACCCCGGCACCCGGACACCCCGGCACCTGGACTTCCCGGATTCCCCGGCACCCCGACACCCCGGCACCCAGCATCCTGACACCCGGACACCCCGGCACCTCGCGCCCCGCACTGCCGGCTCCCGGTGGACCCAGCCTGATGTGGGGTTCGGAGGACGCGGTGATGTGTCGGGCGCGGCGGGCCGGGGCCCGGAAACACCGCACAAGCCCCGCGGGGCGGGCGGGCGGGCGGGCGGGCGGGCTGAGCGGGAGGTGCGGGCGGGCGGAGCGGGCTGCCCGGTTCCCTGACGCCGCCTCCAGCGCCGCCGGCAGGCGAGCCGGCTCCGTCCTCCCGCAGGCCGGCCCGGCGACAGCTGGGACAATCCGGGTGACAGTCCCCCGGCCGGGCGGCGGCAGCACCGGGCTGGAGGACTCACCCAGCCAGGCAGACACCCCAGGATTTGGAGGATGGACTGCAGGGCGCCAAGGCCGGGGGCGCGGTGACGCTGTGGTGGAGGGGGCTGTCCGAGCCCTGAGTGTCTGTGACTCACTCCCCTGGCCCAGGCGGCCTGCGGGGGGCCTCCCCACGGTGAGGTGCTCCCTGAGGCCGGGTGCCCGCCGGACGGCACCCAGCCGGTCTGACCGCAGAGCCCGCGCCCCGCTCAGCCCCGATGACAACAGGCAGAGGGGCGGGCGCGCACCCAGGGGGCCGTTGTGGGCACTGTGGGCTGGGAGTGGGGCGGCTCCCGCTCATCCTCGTCCCTGAAGCTGCAGAGACAGCCCCTCCGGGGACTCCCCGGGCCTGGGCACCTCCCAGACCGAGGCCCTCCCAGTGTGCTCCTCCCGGAGCAGCGTGAGGGCAGAGGCAGCACGTCTGGAGGGCCCTCCGGTCGGGGGCCCGGCCGCCTGCCCCCCATGTCCCTCAGGCCACTCACGGACCACCCCGGGGCCAGGGTCGCTTCTTTAATATATAACTTTATTTCTGGTTATAGAAACAAATGCTAAGAGGAGAAACAGGACTTCTCCATCCACATACAATTTAATAGATAAAAGAACAGTTACAATAAATGAAAAACCAAATGTAGAAATTTTAAACTTTGTTATAGCTTTAAAACATTAATGTCTGATACAATTAGAAATCACATTCATTTCTCAAACTTTAAAAAAAAAAGTATGGCTCCTTTTTAAAAAAGTACTGTATCCCATTAGAAATGGAGGCAGGCCGGCCGCGGCGCAGGGTCCCTCCCAGGCCTGGCCCGCCCCCACAGCGGGCGCCCCGGCACCGCAAGCCGCCCCGGCTCCCCAGGCCAGACTTCACCCGCAGGCAGGGGCACCGCCACGTGACCTCTGCCTCTCCCAGGCTTAGGCCTTAATTTCCACCTTGTAGGAAACCACTGCTTTTAAAGCACTGATTGTTAAACATGTTGTAAAAATACTTTAGACAGCCACCGTAAAAACACGCTCACACACACACACACCCAGCCCTAACGGCGCCCGCCCCGCCCCGCCCCGCCCCGCCGTTACAGAATCATCCGTCAGATTAAAACACCTCAGTATAGGCTCAACGCTCCCTCCTGGGCCCAGCTGCGGGGTCAGCACTCGGCAGATCTGAGTGAGGCTTTGGGACCCTGTCCCCATCGCCGCCCCCCACCCCACCGTCCTGTTAGAACGCGAGCCCAGTAACCGGGACCAGGAGAAGGGAGAGCCAAGCTGAACTTGTCGGATTTAAAACTCATTTTACAGGTTAAAAAAGACCTGGGCCAGGTGACCCGGCCTCAGAGGCGGGGCTTACGAGGCCGCGGGCTGTCTCACAGCCTTCAGGCCGCGAGGGACCGCTCCAGCCGGGCACGCTCCTGGGGACCCAGCTCAGCCAGGTTCAGGTTACAGCGTGGACCACGGCTCCCGGCGCCACCTCCGACCTCCCTTTGTTTCTGACGGAGAGTAAATGCCAGTGAGCGTCTGGATCGAACCAGCGAGCTGCAGAGGCCGAGCACCCTCCTCTCTGCGGCCGGCCAGCCGGTGACCGGCTTCCCGCTGCCCTGCAGGCGCTGGTGCAGGGCCGAGCGGCCGGGGCTGTGCCGGCATCGCCCGCGAACCTGGTGAAGAACCGAGCTTGCAGCTCCCCGTTTCTCCGCTGCCACAGGGAGCAGAGGCGCAGGGAGAGGGTCCTGGGAGGGGTGCCCTGGGGAGCGAGGTGCCTGGCACAGAGCCACGGCCCCTCACTGTCTTCTGACACGATCAGCCAAAGCTGCCACTGGGAGTGCAGACCTGCAGGCCTGGCCGGCAGAGCGTGAGCCAGGCCTCCATGCGTCCACTCAGCTCCGGGCAGGCCCTGTGGGCAGAGGCGGGCACCCCCAGCCAGGCTAGCTCCCCACAGCTGCCGCGGCCTTACAGGGAGGCGTCCCCCAGGGCGCTGGGCCTGCTGACCTCTCCCGCCGATAACCTCCGACCCCAGGACCCCCTCACTGCCCCGGAACCGCTCAGCTGGCTGACGAGCTGCGTGTGGCCCCGCGGGGGAGGGGCCGGGCCAGGCCGGAAAGGACAACCCTCCCAGGGACGCCCGACAGGCCGGAAGCCCGCGGTGAACAGCCCAGCAGGCGGCCTTTCTCCTTTTCACTTAGTCAAAGGGCCTGTTTCTCACTTCAGTCCCGAGGCGCTCGGGTGCCCCATGTTCTCTGAAGCAGTAACGAGTGGGTGACGGGCCAGAGGGGGCAGGGGGTGGAGACACGGTGGTGCCGGCTCGCACCCGCGCCTGCACAGCCGGCGGCCTGGACCAGGGCCGAGGGGACCGCTGCCCGCAGGGCCGCCCAGACCTCCCTGGGCCAGGGTAGCAGCTTTGGTGCGAGGAGAGGCGGGCGGCGAAGGCAGGGCCGGCTGACACCGAGGCCCTGACGTGGGAGCCAGGCCTGGAGGACGACACCGTCACGACGGGAATTTGCAAAACACAGGAACCCACCGAGAGAGACGGCAGAGGCAGCGAGGGCCGTGGGCTGCGTCCTCCCTCCCGCCCGCGGGCCGGTCTGCAGGCTGCCCGCCCACTCGCCCAGCAGCACGTGTGCGGGACTGTCCTCAGGGGGTGCACCCGGGCAGAGGTAGCGCGTGGGCCGTGAGGACATGCGTGGCCCTGGCGGAGCCATGGAGGGCCAGGTGTGTCCGGTCCACAGGGCCGGGCTGCGGCGCCCCGGCTCTCCAGCAGAGCCTGGTCGCTTGGTGACTTATTGAGAACGAGTAGTGTGCTGTCCAGCGTGGGGCAGGGGCAGTGTGCGCCGCGCCCCGAAGCCCGTCTGGGGAGGCTGTGCTCTAGGCCCATGAGGGTGTGAGCCCAGAGACGGTGACGGCCTCCAGGGCAGAGCAGAGCTGAGGCCGCCTGCACGGCGGCTCCGGGCCCTCCTCCGCCCACCCTCCCACCGAGCGTCGTCCTGTGAGGCTGCACTGTCTGTCACATGAGCCCCCTAGCCCAGAGCCAGTGCCTTCCCCCTGGGCCTGAGGCACGGCGAGGGCAGCGCGCCCCCTGGAGCTGGAGACCTGCGCAGAGGAAGCAGCAGCGTGGCTGAGCGACACCAGGGCCTCACACCCTCTGGGGCTGGGGCCGGGGGCACAGAATGACCAGCAGACCCTCCTCTGGCGTCTCAGGAACTCACTTTCCCCGGGCTTGGCTCTGAAACAGGAAAAGGAAACACCCAGAGCCAGCCACCCGCAAGTGTGAGCCGAGCAGCCCGGCAGGGACAAGGCTTGCATGGGCCGTGATGCCTGCGCCTGCGGTCGGAGGGGGTGAGGGGGCCTGGCCGAGCCCCCCAGGCCTTGCAGACTGCCTTCACGCAGCGTCCCGGGAGAGCTCCGTGGGGACACGGTCACTCCCCACTCCTCGCTTTCCGCCTCAGGGACGCGCCCCTCGGCCTGGCTACTCCCGTGACGCCTCCCCGCGCGGGGCTCTCAGCAGCAGCAGCAGCAGCAGCAGCAGCAGCAGCAGGGGCCCGAGTGCCCGAAGCCGGTGCCCTGGCCCCTGGTGACCACAGCGAAGGGTCTCCGTCCGAGGCTGCAGGGGCACGGCGATCGGCCAGCAGACTTCTCGCTTTCCCAGCCTGGGCTGGCGCCGGCCCACCCTGCACGGACACAGGCCACAGGCCACCGACTCGGTGCGCTCGGCCAGCTCTGAGGGCACCGGGCAGCCATGCCCGGGCCCCTGGCTGACGGGCCTCGGACACCTGCCGCCCGAGCCAGGCACTCTGGTCAGGCCCGGACGCAGGTCCGTGCCCGAGGGGCAGCCCCTCCAGCCCCGGCCTCCGCTCCCCGCGCCGCGCTGGCCGCTCGGTCCTTCCTCGGCCCTCACGGGGCACAGGTCACCGGCGGACCTTGTCCCCCCTCGCCCCCCTCCACCCCCTCCACCTCTGGCTGCCGAGGAGGATCCTCACTGGAAATGGACGGAAAAACCAGACATCTCAAAAGCCATGAGAAAGGGTTGGAGCAGACCGGTCAGGCGAGCCGGCCGTGCCTGTGGCTGCGGCGCCGGGCCCAGAGGCACGCCCGTGGGTCCTGTCGCCAGAGGTGGCGTGTCGGGTGGCACGTCCCGAAGGAGGGAAGCAGCGCAGGGACCCGCTCAGACCCGCAGCCAGGCCTCCGCCAGCCCGTCGTCCGCGCCCGCCACCACGGCAGATCGGCTCGGAGGGGTTCGGGGGGCCCGGGGGCGGCGCCAGCGCTCACCGCCCGCTTCTCTGGCGTCCCCTCCCAGGAGGGGCATCCCCTCGCGAGGTTCGTGCACGGGAGGGCCCAGGCCCCGCACTGTCCTGGCGCTTGGGGTGGGAGCACCCCATCGAGCTGGCTGTCGAAATGGGTCTCGTGGCGTTGGCTCCCGGCTGGTCCGCAGGAGCCTCCCGAGCACGCCGTGCTGCCGCTGCGGGCCGCGCTGGGGTCGTCCACGTGGCTCTCGCCGCGGACGCCCCCCGAAGGGGCAGAGGTGAGGGGTCACTCCCAGGGTGGCCACGGCGTCTGCAGGTGGGACTCGGAACCAGACGATCCCTCTGGCCTCAGATGTGGGGAGCCCGGTTTCCACGCTGCACGCGGACATGGACTCCTCAGTCCACAGCCCCCCGAACCCCCCGTTAATGCCAGCGGAGCTCCGGGCCAGGTCCGGCGGCAGACGTCAGAGCAGCTGGAAGTCGGACGGCCGCCTTCTCGCGGTTCCGATGCGGGCGCGGAGCGGAGTGCCGTCCTCCTCGAAGGCTGCCGGGCCTGCTCTGCTAGCGGCCGGGCCTGGGGTCTGGTCCTCGGGCGCGGCCTCCCCACGCCCCGACGGGCCTGCGGACAAGCCGTGCTCGGAGGAAAACAAAGAATCCCAGAACCATACGCTGTCTGAACGCGTTTATGTTTGGTTTCGACGATGGCAGGGGCAGGTGCCGGTGGGGGACGTGTGGCAGGAGCAGGCGGTGGGCGGCCTGTCCGTGCGGCGTGCTCGGTCCCAGGCGGCAATGTGGGCGTCGTGTCCAGCCCGTTCCCTCTGGCGTGCGTCCACTCCGCCTCCCGGGCGTCACTCCCCCGTCCCGGGCCCCTGCGGGCCGGCGGCCGCGATGACCCCGGCCTGCGCACTCACAGTCCCACTGGGCTCCTCCAGCCGCGACCTCTTCGCCTCCGGCTCCCCGGAGGCTGCCGCAGAGGGGACGGCGGTGGCCGGCGTGGTGGTGGCGGGCGTGGCTGTGGCTGGTGTGGTGGTGGTGGGCATGGTGGTGGCAGCTGCCGGCTCCTCGGGCCCCACCTCGCACACCCGGGCGACCACCACGGGCGTGGACGAGCTGGCCTGGGCCGCCAGGAGCTGCAGGGGGCTTGTGAGGGCTGCAGGGAGGGAGCGAGGTTACGAGGGACCCGCTCCCAGCAGCCCCGCGGCCAGCCACCCACCTGCTCCCACCTCATCTGGACCCGCTTTCCCGTGAGCCACCCACCGTGACCTGGTTCCCTCTCCACCCAAGGGGTGCACTGTCCCTGTCTGCCCCAGCGCCTGCCCTGCCCCCTCCGCTGCCCTCCCGAGCACCTGGCTGAGTGCCAAAGCCCTCAGCCTCAGCCCCAGCCCCGGATGTGCCCTCAGCCTCAGCCCTGGTCCTAGGACATGGCGGTCCCAGGACGTGTGGGGTCCCAGGCCGTGTGCCGTCCGACGCCCTGCCCAGATGGCTCGGGGTCACAGTGCCTGGCGCTTAGCACTGCTCAGCCGGTGGATGCCTGACCGGCTGCCGACGGCCTGGCAGACGGTCCCCCGGGCCCTGACTGTGCGGCACTCACCGTAAGCGCTGCTGGCTACACTGTTGGTGGGGACCGCGTGCCTTCCGTTCTGCGTGACGGCCCGGACCGGGAGGGGGTGCTGCCCGATGCTCACGGGCGTGGCCGGCTGCAGGATGGTGACCGTGTGCCCAGGGACGCCGGGGGCCATCTGGCTGGCCACCGTCTGGATGACGCGGGTGGCGGCGGGGATGGTGGCGAAGGCGATGGTGGGCTTCTCCTCCAGGCCTAGGGGAGAGTGCGCGTCAGCGACCCCTCGCCGGGCGCCGCCCTGAGCTGCGTGTTCTGTGCCATGCTGGGAAACCACCGCTTCTCAAAAAACACGGCACCGGGGAGGCGCAGCCAGGTGACCGAGGAGCAGGACGTTCAACACACGTGTAAAGGTCACACTTACAGCCAGGTGACCGAGGAATGGGACCGATCAACATGTGTGTAACAGCACCGTTAAACACGCATGTAACAGTCAGACTTACAGCCAGTGACCGAGGAATGGGACCAATCAACATGTGTGTAACAGCACCGTTAAACACGCGTGTAACAGTCAGACTTACAGCCAGGTGACCGAGGAATGGGACCGTTCAGCATGTGTGTAATAGGACCGTTTAACACACGTGTAATGGTCACACAGCCAGGTGACTGAGAAATGGGACTGTTCAGCACGTGTGTAACAGGACCATTAAACACATGTGTAACAGGATTGTTAAACACGTGTGTAATGGTCACACAGCCAGGTGACTGAGGAATGGGACCGATCAACACGTGTGTAACAGGACCGTTAAACACGTGTGTAATGGTCACACTGACAGCCAGCGTGACCGAGGAGCAGGACTGCTCCTGGGAATGGCTGACCTCCATGCAGACCCCCGGACCCACTGCTGGGATCACCGTTAGAGACGGGGCCCCGGGCCAGCCAGGCCCGTGTAACGCGTGTTCACTTTAGACGGCCTCTAAGGACTCCTCGTCCTTGGTCCCGGCCCCCCGAACAGGGTGGCCTGGCTGCTCCTCACGGGAGGGCGTGCTCTGGGGTGACCCTGCTGACTGCACAGGGTGGGCTCCCCAAAACACAGGTAGCAGGGAGTGGGGGCAGGAGGCCGATAGTGATTGGCTCAGAGACTGCCTGTGCCTGACCCCTGTGCTCTGTGCCTGACCCCTGTGCTCTGTGCCCCTGACCCCTGTGCTCTGTGCCCCTGACCCCTGTGCCCTGTGCCCCTGACCCCTGTGCCCTGTGCCTGACCCCTGTGCTCTGTGCCCCTGACCCCTGTGCCCTGTGCCCCTGACCCCTGTGCTCTGTGCCCCTGACCCCTGTGCTCTGTGCCCCTGACCCCTGTGCTCTGTGCCCCTGACCCCTGTGCCCTGTGCCCCTGACCCCTGTGCTCTGTGCCCCTGACCCCTGTGCTCTGTGCCCCTGACCTGTGCTCTGAGCCCCTGACCCCTGTGCTCTGTGCTCCTGACCCCTGTGCTCTGAGCCCGACCCCTGTGCTCTGTGCCCCTGACCCCTGTGCTCTGAGCCCGACCCCTGTGCTCTGAGCCCCTGACCCCTGTGCTCTGTGCCCCTGACCCCTGTGCTCTGAGCCCGACCCCTGTGCTCTGTGCCCCTGACCCCTGTGCTCTGAGCCCGACCCCTGTGCTCTGAGCCCCTGACCCCTGTGCTCTGTGCCCCTGACCCCTGTGCTCTGTGCCTGACCCCTGTGCTCTGTGCCCCTGACCCCTGTGCTCTGAGCCCCTGACCCCTGTGCTCTGTGCCCCTGACCCCTGTGCTCTGTGCCTGACCCCTGTGCTCTGTGCCTGACCCCTGTGCTCTGTGCCCCTGACCCCTGTGCTCTGTGCCCCTGACCCCTGTGCTCTGTGCCCCTGACCCCTGTGTGCTGTGCCCCGAGGCCAAGGCTGACAGCTCTACGCCCTGGAGCCCCAGAAGGACCCCATGCTCTCACCTCTTGCCTCGCTGCCCAGGTCCAGCACCGCAGTGCCTGCTGCTTCATGGGTGCCCCCTGCCGAGGCCTGGTTGGTGGTGAGGATGTAGCCGTTGGCGGAGCTGGCAGAGGAGGTGACCACTCGGAGCATGGTGACAGGGGGCGCCTGCTGCACCACGTGGATGGCGTGGCCCGGGGGCTGCTGTGCCGCCACGATGGACGCAGGCATGTAGGCCACGGGCTTGGCCACTAGACTAGGAGGCCGGGGGGGGCACGGCCATGATCACGGGCTGGGCGCTGACCGGAGAGCCTGCAGAGAAGGACGCGAGGTCAGTGGGCCCCCCCCCCCCGGTCTGCGTCCTCCGCCGCGGCCCCCCCCCCCCCCCCCCCGGTCTGCGTCCTCCGCCGCGGCCCCCCCGCCCCCCGGGTCTGCGTCCTCCGCCGCGGCCCCCCCCCCGCCCCGGGTCTGCGTCCTCCGCCGCGGGCCCCCCCCCCCCCCGGGTCTGCGTCCTCCGCCGCGGCCCCCCCCCCCCCCCCCGGGTCTGCGTCCTCCGCCGCGGCCCCCCCCCCCCCCCGGGTCTGCGTCCTCCGCCGCGGCCCCCCCCCCCCCGGGTCTGCGTCCTCCGCCGCGGCCCCCCCCGCCCCCCGGGTCTGCGTCCTCCGCCGCGGCCCCCCCCCCCCCCGGTCTGCGTCCTCCGCCGCGGCCCCCCCCCCGGCCGGCAGGGCCGCTCTTACCGGGCGCGCTCTGCGAGTAGCGGTACTCGGGGACAGACGCCAGCTTCGACCCAAAGTCCGGGTCGTGTGGGATGGGGGAGCCCTCCCGGGACAGGCACTCCGGGGTCTGCAGGCCGCTGGAGCGAGGGGACATCAGCCCGGGGTGGGTGGGCGAGGCCGGAGCGCTCCTGAGGAGGGAGGGCCACGCGGGAGCCACTGAGCACAGCGGAGGCGCCAGGACGCGGCCCGCGGGCCTGCCCCTTCCCTGGCGCAGCCTCTCGGAGCGGCGCGAGGGGCGGGGAGCGGGCGGCTCACCTGGAGGACAGCGGCCCGAAGGGCGTGCGGAAGCAGGACACGCCCCTCTGCCGGCGCTTCCGGAAGGCCTGCTCCACCAGCTTGGCCTCGGAGGCCGGGTCGATGCGCCAGAAGGACCCCTTGCCCGGCTCCTCCTGCGAGCGCGGCACTTTGATGAAGTAGCGGTTCAGGGACAGGTTGTGGCGGATGGAGTTCTGCGGCAGAGATGGCACCGCGCTGGCCAATCGGGAAGCCACACGGCCCCCCCCCCACGCAGGGACACGGGACGAGGTGACGGGGCGAGCTCAGGGGTCACACCGGTGGCAGCTCCTGCGGGCTGGCAGGCTGTTTTATGGGACAGGGCAAAGGCGCGGGGGGTTTTTCCGGTCAAAACCCAGGGCCCCATCGCCCCCATTCTTTAGTGCAAGCGTGAGGCAGGAAAAGGTGTCCAGGCTAAGCCAGCACGGAGCCCGGCGGGGTGCTCAGTGGTTAGAGCACCAGTCTCAATTCCAGGCAAGGGCACATGCCACCGGTGCAGGCCCAATCCCTGGTCGAGGTGTGTGCAGGAGGCAACCAATTGGGTGTGCGCGCGCGCTCTCTCTCTCTCGCTCTCTCTCTCTCTCTCTTCCCCCACTTGCACGCTCTCAAAGAACCCATGGAAAAACGTCCTCTGGTGAGGATCTATAAGACAGACAAACCAAGAAAAGCCTGCGTGAGTCGCTGGCAAAGGAAAGAAACCAGGAGACACGGTGAGGGGACACGCTGGTTACGCCCGGCGCAGACCCGTCTCAGAGCCCGCGTGGAGGAAGCGCCCGTGACGGCCACGTGGAGTGACTCGGAGCCCTCCTCAGCTCCCCTCCGAGGCGGGCCGTCCCAGCGGCGCCTCACCTGCCAGCCCTTGTCGGCCGTGCGGTAGTAGGGGTAATGCTTGGTGATGTGGGCGTAGATGCCGCTCAGCGTCAGCTGCCGGTCCTGGGCCGACGAGATGGCCTGCACGATGAGCTGCGCGTACGAGTAGGGCGGCTTCGACTCGTCCTGGGAGCGGAGGGGGTGTG